TAATGACACTTCTTTCTTCCATCCAGACAGACAGGCTTCCCCGTTTCATCGGAGCTGAGGTCGCAGGCCCAGAGTGTCCGCAGCTTTCACGTTACCTAATTACAGAACAGGTGTACAGGCCCGTGGCATTTGATAGTCCGACTCGTTTCGGTGATCCGACCAAATTTACATTTACCAATCGTATTTATACGCGCTCGTGATAACGGTCTTGCGTAATAATCGGCCGGCGACGAAATGTAAAAACACACTTGTGGAACTAGTACACGCAGCTTTCGCTTTCTCCGGTAGAACAGGCTGCTTTTTGTCGACTTTTGTGCAACATTTTTACATGCGTGCTACGTTTCATCAGAATCGTTGTTGGTCGCTATAGGAGAGATACGAGCTTCGTATCGATGAGATCGATACAGGCGTGTGTGTTGGTAAGATGTTATTAACGTTAATAACGGTTTTCGTAATTTTCGTATCGGACTATCTTCTAATTACTTCACTGGTAACTATTACGTCCAGATTTCGTTTTGATATAAAATATAATAAGCGCTAATCTGGTGCTTATGAATAGACGGGCTGCGAATGGGTAGGAAATTGGATGAGTTCACAAAAGAAGTGAGGAAGTAGAAAATAAAGAAAGTTTACTTTGGATAACAATTCGTTACTTTCTTTTTGGGTAACTATATCAAATTGTAAATTGAAAGTGGGAACGTTGATGTTACTTAACCTATAAGCTAACGCTATCTGTAACGTCTTTTATGCATTAACGCGTTATTTATTACCGAATCTAGTGACTTTAGTAATATTCTCAGTGATAAATACCACATTGTGAAACCAAAAATTGAATTTGTCAAAAATTATACTTAAGCATATTTAGGACTAAGAATTTCAATTTTATTTACATCCTATATACAATGGAAATGAAGTAAAAAGTATGAGAAGAAAGTCTTTATCGTGAGTAAATTAAAAAGATTTAAACGAATGACTGTTTTTCTCGTGAAATGTCGAAAAATAATAAAAATACATAAATGGAAAGTCGCGTCACCCAGTATACGGAGAACGTCAATGAAACTTTGCTTACTATCGTCACCCAGTATATGTCGCGCGGAGGAAGTCGGTAACAAGAAGAACCGGTCGACTAGTACAGTAACCATTTCGTATCTGTCATTTTTCCCAGGCCGATACCTGCTCCTCGTTTGTGTGTCCCTTTATCCTCTTTTCCACCTACCTTTCACCAGTTTCCACGACAAGGGGGCAGGAATTCTTTTTTTTTTTTTTTCTTCCAAGGAACAACAATAAAATCCTTCCCGATGATTTCGTGGTTGAACGTGTCTCTTAATTTAACTCGCAGAGCCACGGGTACACGTGAGTCCACTTAGAAGTCGGCTACAAGAGAGTTCTGAAACCTACGGCAAAGTGGATAGGCGGGTTTTCTATCGGAGACTGTCGATCCGAGAAAAACTTGTCGCGATCGACGTTAACCCTTTGCACTTTTGTCCCTCCTTCGACTCGGCGTTCTACACCTCGATGTATTTTGTTAGGTTAAGTTTTCACTTTTCTTTCGCCTCACGCGGCGCGGAATTTCCAGGCACTTGCACGTATTTTGTTTGGTTATGTTTCCACCGTTCCCTCGGTTTACTCGTTAGTTTCACCATGGGTATCCGAAAGCCTTGTTTCTGTTATTCGTACAGTGAAAAACATTCATTACGACGATTCCAGACGCAACACATGTCAGAGGTTCATAACTATGCCGAGTAACGGTAACGAAAGTAAATCACACACAGTGACCAGAATCACGCACGGACACCGTGCTACGACGTTCGAACGAAGATCACATTGACAGAAAGTTAGATCGGCATTATTATCCGCCTGTTCTCGTCACTTCCGGCAACGTGACGAATGGCGGATAGTCGCGTGTACGCGGGGAAGCAGGTAACCGCTGTGCAACAAGATAAATTACAAAAACATCGATTGAGATACAATCGGGTAAAATGACCGTGCAGAATTCTCCAATGCTTTCTAATTAATCGTACCACATAACAGTGAGTGTTTTTTACAGGTCCGTGTATTCGTGTTCGTGAAACGAGAAATGATAACCTAAAAGTTAAACCGGTGAATTATTAGTGATACAGTTTTAACGCCGTGCACACAGATGGCGAAGGGAAAAGTCTTCGATTCGTAGGTAAACGTTAGAATCCTCTACTCGAGTATCTCTCGACGTAGGCTGCTCTCAGATTCTCGGTGATAAGAGATTTCCGATATTTCAGGAGTCACTTTGGAAATTGAATGGATCTCGAAACTCGAATGAATTCACGGCGCATGCCTCTCAACCGGAGTGAAAAGAAGATCGAGATGAAAAGTGAATTAAAAAGGAAAGAAACAAGAGGCACTTCCACTGAATTTCAATCGAACCACGATGCGTTTCATGCAGTTCTCGATGATACAACGGCGTGAAGAAACTATATCATCGAAACTATATCATGTCACAGCGTACAGGAGAAAGAAGTTCATGGTTGTAAAATAATCCATACGTAATAATATTAATCCGTAGCTTTTTGTTGCACGAATCGAAGGTGCCCAGAGACTGCGGACAATTCTTTCGTATTGCATAATTATTACGATGCAATTAGAGTACAGCCGTGTGTTGGCGGAGACAGGAAAAGGAAACGTCGGCAAAGCAAAGATACGTAGCCCTAAAGGTATCATTTGCATTTGCTTCTAGAGCCAGGTTTTGCAGCAATCTGCACGCATGACTAACCTAACAACTCGTCGAGGCACGCGTATACGAAAGGATAACTTTATAATATTGCTAAAAACCGTCATTAGAATGTCACGATATCGATACTCGATATTTTATCATAATTTGAGCTCTGCATAAAAATCAAAAAATTAAAAAGGAAAGAAAATGATAACTAAAGAGGTTATGTAAAAATAGTTCTTATGGTTTTAGAAAATTATTCCAAGATTTTTTAATGTCAAAGCTAAAGTGAGACATTTGACCAAGCATTTTAATACAAAGGCTTTATGTTTAGTGTTCAAGAATTCTAAGACTGAAAATCTGAAGAAGATATTTACCCTTTATAGCAAAATAGTAAAGCTGCATAAAATGGTAAGAGTGATTGGAAAACGTCAATCAAATAGCAAACATGTTCGCGACTCTGTTATTACCAGTAACGCGATCGAACGATTGTTGCTGCTGGCTTATTATCTTTATCTGTCAAGTAGTGAGAATGTTGTTGGCGTATACGAGGATTCGACGTAAGTGCGCGTACGTCTTCGTAACGTGCTTCGATTCCATGTGCAAACAAAACGCTTTCACCTGTCGAGTTCAATTCAATTTTATCGTTAATGGAACACACTTGCTGCACACAACTCTATACAGTTGTTATTAAACGATACACGATAAATATTTGATCGCAATAACCACTGCTTACGGTCGGTATAACCAAAATGTTGGATCAAATCTCGGATAGTAAAGAACGAGCAATGATTGAGGTTAAAAAATACAGTACGCGATGAATACATGTCGTAAATGTTTGCCATCTTTCTTTCCTCGTATAACTTATCTCGAAATCGATCAAATATTCGATAAATAGGATACAAAGTACAATTCAGTGAATTTGGTGAACTTTTTCCAACTCGTTCAAGCGAACAATTATATTGAAATATGTGCATGGTTTTCTAAACTAAAATCACAATCGAATCGCTACCTTGATCTTTGCGGTATAGTATATGTATGCATAATTTGTGTTTTAAGTGAAACAGACATATGCATGAGTTATTACATATAACCCTTCCAGGAAAATATTATTTCGCTATATTTCTCTCTTGTATGGAAGGTATCTTACGTACTGTCATTGTTGTAACGAAGTAATAAAGTAAAATAAATAAAATAATATTGGAATTAGAGTGTAGAAAGAAACGAATGAAACAAGTATTTGTACAATAGACTTTTGCTATACTACGTTTGTTATTAAGCAGAATTTAAAGTGGACAAATTTTCGTACTTACCATGTTGTGGGCTAATGTGTGTTTATGCGTATGTATGCGCGCCGGTGTGTCACCCAATGCTACTGTCTACTGCTGTCTAACCCAAGCATGCCTACAAAATAGCCGGTAACAACAATCAGTTGCCGACGAATTTGCTGCAATCCAAAATCACGATGCTTGCTCGTTGATCGTTACACAGTCAACACAGATCACCATATGTAAACACACACATGTCCTTTGCGACACGCGTGGGATCCCGCGTGTATCAGTGCGCGCACTCTCATGCACTGCAATCGAGTTCGCACATAAAAAACCTAGTCGAACGTTTTTCTGATAATTTAAAGAAATGTGATGTTCACCACGAATTCGATCGGCGAACGTATTTACGAACACTAATGAAAATTATTTGTTAACGGTATACATTTCGTTGTGTTTCATATTTTCATTTCTAAGTATTTTCGCGCCGTTTTGCTAAAACTGTGAAAAGTCACGTACAAAACGAAGAGAAGTCACGGATTTTCAACCTGGCGGACACCGACTGAGCTCTCAACCGGCAGGTAGGTGAGCCATCGCCCCTCCACTGTACTTACCACCACGGCCGCTTACCATTCTCCATTCTCTTTGCCTTTGCTTCACTTGGCTTCGTCTTGTTCTTTCATTTTCATGCTCTTGGATTCTGTACCCTTATAGCTGCACTAATGGCCTATTATTATATTCTCTTAACATTCAAATTTCAAATCTCCGTATTCTATTCGTATCAACCAAACTCGGAATAATCCTGAATTCTGAATTAATTTTTTAATTTTATCTCATTGAAGTTAAACTTAAATATATATTATTCATATATAAATAAATTATTCTTCTATTCTATTATATTGTGTTCCATAAAAAATAATTGTACTAATTAATTAATAATAATAGTAATAAATATTGCATATATTTATGGGACAGGTAAATAACAATTATAACACTTAATTGGAATTCGCAATTAAATATAAATTTATTTATAGTATATTAAACAATTAATGCATTTCAATAACTGATGTTTCATCTTTTTCTTGTTCTTGTTCTTCTGTCTCTTCTTCAACAGTCTTTGAAAGATAATTTTGACAATCAATTTTAAAAGACTCCCTAGTTAATTCGCTTCTAATTTCAACCCTATAAAATTTGTATTCAAATGTAAATATTATTATGAATTTGTATTACTATTCTACGCATATTTAATTCATTATGTATTGATTTAAGTATATGTACCTTTCTATAAACGATCCATCACTTTTTGGTTTCACTGATTCAATGTCCTTAATTAGTACTGAAAAATTTTCTTCTAGCTCTTCCATTTTCATATCGAGCTAATAAATAAATAAATAATTAAAAATATACACCATGTTAAATTTTATAGTATTACAGATTATAAATATACCAAGCCAAATGTCACATTAATTGAACCATATTCTTTGAAAGTACTATGAGGTAATATAGTATACATAATTCCATACTTGAACCTCTTAACAACAGTAGTCATATTATTACTCAAACTACCTAAAATATTTAAGTAATATTTAGTAATATTTAAATATAATACTTATAAATAAACATTTATAACAGTATATTAACAAATATACTGTTTTACCATATGCTAGGTTTGGAAATCTTCTTTTCAATATTCCTCTAATTAATAATAAATCAGTTAAAATATCTGAATGAGCTACAATGTAATTATAATCTTTTGCATTGAGTGTTCCATTCTGTAATAATCAAATTTATAAATAAGTTTTATATTCGTAGGTTTTTGAATATTGCATATCATTAGTGTATAATATTCCAACCTACTTGAATTCGTTTTATCAAGTCAATGCCACCAACTTCAGTAGCTCCAGCATTTCTAGCATCTTCTTGTCCCTTTCCATTCTTACAAAAAGCTAATATTTTTCTTTCGGTATCATTATTTCGAAATATATATGGTGTTTTAACTAGCTTTGTAAATTTTTCAATATATTTCTTCTTACCCTGGCGCTGTTATAATTATTATGTAAAACACTTATGTTAATATAGTATTTTCAATTTACTCTAATATTTATAAAGTTGTTATATAAATATTATTTATCATTCTACACCTGCATATTTAAATCTATAAATGCTATAACTGCTGCATCGGGTTTATTGCACATAGTTGGATGATGTGTTTCACGGTGGAATTGTATAGCTTCTTTTAAAGAATAAACTGGTTTCTGATGATATTTTGCTATCCACACATTATCAATAGTTTTTGATTTCCAACTATCATCTATTAATTTACGTGGATCAACTTCCGTCTTCAGTTTACTATCAAATTGTTAAAATACCATGAGAACTTGGAATGATATATATAATGACAATAAAATTAACTGCAGAAATTACTCACCTTTTATCTATTTTTCTTACTGGCTGAAATCCTACTTTTTCAACAACTGCTTTAACTTTTCTCTTCTGGAGTTTTAGTCTTTTTCTCTCTCTTGTTCCTTTTCTAGCAGCATAATTTCGAGTTTGCATAAATATATCAGAACATATATTATATCCAACATTGTAGTTGTATATAGTACGAAGACTGTTTGTCAACCAACCTGTATATATCAAATTAAAATTACACGAAAATGATAAGAATTATAACTATGTTTTTATTTAGATAAATCATTTTAGGTTATGATTACAGTTTTTCACGTCCATATATAATTTTGTGACATGCTTCATGATGGATTATATATACTTACTAATGCAATCGCGTTATTTAAAAAGAAAATTGATTATTAGCTATACAAATTAAAAATAACTTACATGATAGCATTTTCGTAATGTTGCAGATAGCAAGTTTACACAAATTAAAGATATTAGTTACCAAATTCTAGGGACATTATGTTTTTAAATATTTGGTATGAATAAAATTTTAATGTAAATAATAATTTTACTAATAATCCTTTTATTGTTATTACGTATTTATATTTTTTATAACTATAATATCAATATATTAAAATTATATTTATTTTTTCATATAATATCAAGATATTCTCATAATTATTATAATCATTAAATATAATAAATTAATTTAAAGAAATAAATAATATAATTTATAATATTAATGTACGTGTAAAATCATATGCAGTTTCAAAAATGGAATAAAATTATAAATAATTGACTTTTAAATTCACATTCATGAAACAGCACTATTCAGATAATATGGCAAACGGAAGTAGACGTCATCAGTGCCAACTGCCAGCCAACTAGGCTTGTTAAAGCTGTGCTTTCTATAGAAATAAAAGCACTTTTTCTCTGCCTTTTGTAGCTTCATGTATTTTTTCCCGTAGCGTACGTTAGTGTAGTAGCAAAGATACGAGTTTTGTTTAATATACCATGCAAACGCTTTTCTGATCCATCTGCAGTTTTGTATTTTAGTGGTGGTGAACGAAACATTATAAAACTGTTATTAGTAGGTGAGATCTGGTAAGTCTATTCCATTTTAACTCTAATCGTCCTTCACTAATTGTGTACTAAATATCACTCTTTACTGCCACACAATAAACGATACTGGCTTAATGTTTATTTTGTTATAAATAATATCAGTATGTAGTATTACTTAGATAATATTTTAATTTTCTTTTTTTTTTACAATTTATATGTATCCTGAATTATATCAAGGCTATAATGAACTTAAAATGTAGTTATTATACACTAAAATTACTTACAGATGATAATCTTGTCAACTCATCATTGTTGCAGAGTCATTCAATAGTTGGTCTATAGTGGATCTGACATTTATTCATATCTACAAATATGTTCATTTGGGACTGGTTTGCAGGAGTTTTGAATTATCTTGGTAGGTTTAGATTTTTTAATTTTTGTATGTGTATTTAAATATGTATTGCGTAAATATAAAGCATGTGACAAACTTTTATAATTGAACTTCATTGTATTCTCCTACTCCTTTTACAAAAAATATATAAATTTTGTGAGATTGTTTGAAATTTTTAACATTGATTTCAATTTAATATTTATAATTTTTTTTTTCTAATTTTTAGGTCTTTGGAAAAAGAGTGGTAAACTCTTGTTTCTTGGTTTAGATAATGCAGGCAAAACCACATTACTTCATATGCTTAAAGATGATCGACTCGCTCAACATGTGCCTACATTGCATCCAAGTAATTAATATTTAATGTTATTTATATATATGCAAGTATTTACAGATTTATATATAATAATTCCTTTTATATTGTCTGATGTGTATATTATAGTTTATTATAAAACATTACTTTCAAATTTCTGATAATTTGCTGACAGTTGCTGATAATTCCATTTTGATATCTTTTGGATTTGACTCACTAATTCTGTTTGTATTTAATATAGTCTATAATAGTATTATATATGCTCTTATGTTTCAGCATCAGAAGAACTCTCTATTGGAAATATGAGGTTCACAACATTTGATTTAGGAGGACATCCTCAAGGTATGATTTAATAAAATGCTAATCATAATTGAATTGTATAATGTTATTTTTTTTTAAATACGAGATGCATTACAGCTCGGAGGGTTTGGAAAGACTATTTTCCTGCAGTGGATGCAATAGTATTTCTTGTTGATGCAAGTGATAGAATACGATTATCAGAGTCAAAAGCTGAATTTGATGCTCTTTTAACTGATGAACAACTTAGTGCATGTCCAGTTTTAGTGCTAGGTAATAAAATTGATAAAGCAGGTGCAGCATCGGAGGATGAACTTAGAAATAACTTTAACCTTTATGGTCAAACAACAGGAAAGGTAAATATAATTAATTGTCTCAGAGTGTCTAAGATGTATATACTAATAATGCACTATATATAAATTTTAGGGAAAAATTTCTCGTGTTGAAATACCTGGTCGTCCATTGGAATTATTTATGTGCTCAGTGCTGAAGAGACAAGGGTATGGTGAAGGCTTCCGCTGGCTTGCTCAGTACATTGACTGAATGCATATAATAATTTAAATACTCAGATTGTGGCAGTTTATTATATTTCCCTTTCCTCTAATTCATATTGGATATCAATACAAAAGTGTATTATCCTTTGTGTGAATTGTGCAAAAGGAAAGAAATATCAATACATAAACTGCAATAACAGATTCAGAACAGTGCAAATAAGAAAAAGAAATACAATATGATAAACGTGATGGAACTAATTTCTTTCATTTTAATACATGAAGCCTATAATCTATATAAATTTTTTTAAATTCCACACAAATTCTGTGAATTTCTATTATTTTGCAAATTATATTATGGAAATACTTGACATAATAAAAATGATATAAACGTTTTGATAAATAAAGTAAAAAACGATTTAAGAATTTTAAGTATATTTCAAAATTATCTTTTATAACATAAATGTTTTAATTACATTAAAAATATTTTATGCACATTTTTCGAAATTTAAAAGAATTTTGGTGAATGCATTTGATTTGACATATTTTTGCTTTAATAAAAAAAAATATGAATGATACAAAAAGTGATACTTGTTATTTGTCTAATATATTGTCATTATCCTATTTTAAAAATTACTGATTTTTTTACTAAAATACCAATACGACTTGTAAAAAAGGTGAAAGCAAATACATTTCATTATAAAACTATCAATATATTTGTAGTTACATTTTGGTAGTAAGTTTTTAAAATATTAATAAATGTCTTGTAAAAAATACCATAAATCGTCCTTAATTATATAAAAACTATTATATAGATGTTTGTGTAAATTTGATTTAAAAAGAAAACAACAAAGAATAAAAAATTTGGAAAATAAATTTTCGTTAATGTATCAATATAGTAATTGCAAGTAGTTATATTTTGTTCATTATTTTTCATGAATAAAGTATATTGTTTTGTATTCCACATAACTCCATTTGTTGTATTGTTTCTTTAACATTCTCATTAACTTTAAAACTGTAATTCTTTTTCATCGAAAAGTTTTGTAAATTGTTGCTGTATATAAGTATCTGTTACCTTTTCTAAACTGTTGGGATTCCATTTTGGTTTTTGATCCTTATCAATCAAGAGTGCTCTAACACCTATGATAGTTTGTATGATGTACAATTGTTTTAAAAACGAGTGTATGATTACAAATAAATGATCATTTATAAAGTACCTTCGCAAAAATCGCTAGTTTTGTTCAAAGCAGCACATGCTAATCTATATTCCATTTTTAAACAGTCTGCCAGGTTTAATGTACTTCCATTTTGAATAGCAGACATAGTGACCTTTAGAGAAGTAGGAGATGCTTTTAATAACATTTGCAATGTCTTTTTAGCCCATTCTGAATTATCCTCCTTTAATCTTTATTAAAATATTGTGGTAATTAAATATTTTTGGGTGTTAAATTATAATTATACTTTAATAATTGATATAATTAATTTACCTCTCTATTATTTCTTCCACACACGATGCAGAAAAACAGGTTTCAATTTTATTCATATATGGTGCTAAACAGAATTCTGAATTTAATTTTTTATATTGATATTTATTTAAAACTTCCTTAACATCAGTTTGTTCAGTCATCAACAAGTCTTGTTTTAACTCTGATAATTTTTCAGAAGAAACAAAATGTGTTGCAATGCCAGCAAGTAGTACGTCTATACCTTTTAATGTATGAAATTATGAAAAAGTATTCAAAATGCAAATTCTTCAATTCAATAATTTTTTATACCTTTTAATCGATCTCCAGTTAATCCTAGATAAAGCCCCAATTTTCCTTTCAATCTAGGTAAAAAATAAGTTCCACCAACATCAGGAAATAATCCAATTGCTGTTTCTGGCATTGCAAACAATGTTTTCTCTGTTGCAATTCGATATTTACCATGAACAGATAATCCAACACCACCACCCATAGTTATTCCATTTATTGTAGCCACATATGGTATTTTATATGTTCCAATAAGATAATTTAAGCTATATTCAACATTTATATAATTTATTTATTAATAATTTAAACACATAATAATTATTTGCATAATTAGTAAGTTTATCAATTATATAATAGTATACTAGTATACTATTTTGTAACTTACATATATTCCTTCTTAAAAAATTTTTCACCTAAGACCTTGTTTTCTGTTTCTCTTAAGGCATTAACAATGGATTTTACATCACCACCTGCACAAAATGCTTTCTCTCCAGCACCTTCTATTATTACTAGTTCTTTAGATAATTCCCATCTTTTAAGTACTGGATATATTTTTTCAACCATCGATAAATTTAAAGCATTCAATGCCTTTGGACGATTTAATGTGATGACACCTTTGTTTCCAATCTTATTTCAAGGACAGATATTTATCACAAATATTTAATTTACATTTTTACATTGTTCATATTATAACTACAAATATACATACATCTTTAAATAAGACATCATTTTCTGTGTTTGTTTGTATTTCCTTGCCTGTAAGTGCATTTTTATTGGGTACTGGAATTTCAACTGGTGGTTTGGAATCTGGTTGAGGTTGAGGTTGAGGTTGTGATTGAGGAAGTGTAGGTTCAACAATAGGACCTAAATTTTAATATATTTATTTCATAAATCTATTTTTATACTACACGGATATTGAATTATTAAACAAATTTTTATTACTAATGAATAATAATTTTATTTTATTAATATAATTATTTAAAATAAGTTCTTTTTAAAAACCTGGTATTTCTACTACAGGAGTTTTTGGAGGATAAGGTACAGTTGGATATGGTGTTGGCATTGTTTCAGGTGGTAGTATAATAGGCTTTGGGTTTTGATTACCAAATTTTAAACCAATGTCCTTACCTGTATTTGAAACTTGTGCCGATAAATACCTGAGAGTACTAATTGAATTACTACCTCCACAATTTAACTTTAATGTACCATTTTTTATCTAATAAAAGAAAAAGGTACATTAGTTGTAATTTTATTATGTAATTATATTTAAATAATGATTACCATTTCGGCTGTTTAATATTTATTTTATATAAATCAATAATAAAATATAAAATATTAGTATAAATGAAAAATATTGTAGCACAAAGACATCGAATTACAAAACTCAATTACAAAGGTTATGGAATATCATCAAATTAATATTTTGATATTCTTATTTTTTTAATGTATATACGTTGTAAAGTAATGATAATTATGATTTTGAAATCATATGAGATATTATATAATCAGATTAAATACATTAGTAATACGTAAAATAAGAATTAATTATCGATACTAATTTTAAAAATGTTATTATATTATGTTAAAAATATATTATCGTATTATAATTATTTAATACAAATTATTTATTGATTTGACATGATATATATATAAGTCACATTAAAAGTTTCAAATATTATAGTTAGAAAATAAAATATTTTACGGTATGAGAAATAGTTTTTAATATTTTATAATTTTAATTACAATAGTAAAGTGTTTC